CTATATATTCAAATTTGGATGATGATGTTTTCTTTTGTAAATAACAAAAATGATTTGGAAAAAAGGCTGCTAAATTCTTAGGGTATATCATGCATGGCCACATGATATTAATATCAGTCATCGAAGATGGTTTAACATCATGTCCTTTTATAAATTTGGTGTATGGACTATATCCTATCCCAACACCTGGGGGGCAATAAGACATGAAAGGTAGTCTTAAAGCTGCACTCGTTGCATAAAGATGCAAGAGATGGGAAAATCCATTTATATTTAAAACATCACGCAAAATTTTTGCATGATTGCCAGATACAATTTGCTTTTCAATTATAGTTTTATTATTATTATAAAATTTTGAATTTATATCATAAATTTTTTTATTTATTATGATTTCATTGGCTGTTAGAAGATGAATATATAAATGTTCATCTTCGTGTCCATAAAGAGCTAAAGACATTGAGCGATAGAAACAGTTACCATCGCCAATGGCTAATCTCGGGGAGTAATTATTTAAAATTTGGGGTTGAAAAGCTTTTATTATTTTAGATGAAATAATGTCTTCTATTTATCGGAAACTTTATAATGAATTTCTAAAAATCTAAGCTCATATGCGTTTTTGATATTGATATTCTTAATTAGTCTAGGTAAAGTATCATCAATTAAATAACACAATGAACATATATAATTATTATTAGAATCTGACCAATCTTTCATCATCTTTGAAGATAATTTAGGGATCATTTAGCATGAATCCATGTTCGACAAAAATCACAAAAAATCCCAGATTCAGTCATTCCAACAATCACATTGCAAATATTACATAAATCTGACATTGATAATAACTAATAAAAATTGTGCAGAATTATAAATATATATATTTATTAAATTTAAATTGTTTAATTTTATTTTCTTAAGGCGATAAAGATGTTAGCTTGATATTTATAGTAGTGATCTGTGCAACTAGCCTAATTTTTCAAGCTAGGCCCGGCCCGAAATTTTTTTTAAAAGAGTTTTGCCGGCCTGACCCGAATTTATTTAAATATAGAAATTAAATTTTATAATTATACTCAAAATAATAGATATTATCTTATATGTCGTCTATTTCTACAAATAAAATATTTTTTTTTTACATAAATAATTCAGCATATTTTAAAAAATTCCAAGGCCCGACCTGGCCAAAATTTTAAAAAAAAATTAGGCCGTAAGACATCTTTAAATGATAAGTTGTAATATTATAGATTCTTAATTTTAAGTATGACATGTTCTATGGTTTAACTATCCCCTATATTAATTTAAATGTATTGATAAATTAATATAATAGTAAAAAAATTCTCAAATAAAATATTTAAAATTTTAAGAAGCAAAATTTAAAATTCGTAAAATTTCTCAATAAAATCCTAATTTTTAAATTTATATTAAAATAAAAAATATTAATTTGAAAATTTTATAAAGTCTACATATAATCTAATAAGGTTGTAATATTATAGATTCTTAATTTTAAGTATGACATGTTCTATGGTTTAACTATCCCCTATATTAATTTAAATGTATTGATAAATTAATAAAATAGGAAAAAAATTCCCAAATAAAATATTTAAAATTTTAAGAAGCAAAATTAAAAATTCGTAAAATTTCTCAATAAAATCCTAATTTTTAAATTTATATTAAAATATAAAAATATTAATTTGAAAATTTTATAAAGTCTACATACAATCTAATAAGGTTGTAATATTATAGATTCTTAATATTAAGTATGACATGTTTGGTTTAACTATCCCCTATATTAATTTAAATGTATCGATAAATTAATAAAATAGGAAAAAGATTCCCAAATAAAATATTTAAAATTTTAAGAAGCAAAATTAAAAATTCGTAATATTTTTCAATAAAATCCTAATTTTTAAATTTATATTAAAATATAAAAATATTAATTTGAAAATTTTATAAAGTCAACATATAATCTAATAAGGTTGTAATATTATAGATTCTTAATTTTAAGTATGACATGTTATTTGGTTTAACTATCCCCTATGTTAATTTAAATGTATTGATAAATTAATAAAATAGGAAAAAAATTCCCAAATAAAATATTTAAAATTTTAATAAGCAAAATTAAAAAAAATTCTCAAAATAAATTTAAATTAAAATATAATTTTTTTTTAAACTTTATGAAGAATATTTATAAGAATAAATAATTGCTAAGGTAGTAGCTATATATATAGTATCGTGATATACAAGTAAAAAAATAAATATTAAAATAATTAATTATAACAATATAAATTTTTCCCATATCTGTAAACAATATTTTTACCTTGATGAATAAAATATTATGTAAGTATACAATAATATTTCAAGTACCGTTTTATGTAATGTAATAATAATACTAATTTTATTATAAAATTGTTACCTTTATATAACTTGAAAATTTGAAACTAATAATAAAAAATAATTTTGTATGTTTTTAAGATATTTGAAGACTCACTTCCGTTTTTATATTTAATTTAATACAACTAGAATTATTTAAAAAATAGCCACAGGTGTGCAACATAATGTAAGTCGGAGTTTAATCTAAACTAAATTACAGTTAGACCGGAACCAATTGAACGACCCTTCATATACTAATTTTCCCATGATACAAAATAATAAAAAATAGTCCTTGATTAACACTATTGCAAGGTAAAAATTATAAAATGATAGGTTTTTCCAATATTTTTGAAATTGATTAATAGGGGAGACTGGGTTTAGGTAAACCCCGGGGCTTGGCAAACCACTTAATCTCATTTTAAAAATAAATACACCAGAAGGTTAAAATTTTATCCTAATATAGATTTTATTAGTTTACATCTATAGACAAAAAATCTTTTAAAATATATAATTATTAAAAATTTTATTTAAGAAATTAAATTTTATAGCAAAGTTTAAACACTCTTCTATAATTTGGGAAAGTTTTATGATTTTTTATTATATCTAGATATTATTTCAATCATAATTTGTCAATTTAGAGCTAGCGGGGTTTGCTAAACCATACAAGTCAATTATGGCAATTTGAGTCCAAAAAAATAAAATATTTTTAATACCCAAAAATTTAAAAAAAAATTAAAAAATTGACTAAACTGAGAATCCACATCATAACTCCAAAAATAATGATGGAAACTTAAAATTTTTTTCATTTTATGTTTAAATAAGTTAGTTTACACCAAATGAGTCAAAAAAATAAAATATTTTTAAAATCCCAAAATTAAAAAAAATTAAAAAATTGACTAAACTGAGAATCCACATTATAACTCCAAAAATAATGATGGAAATTTAAAAATTTTTTCATTTTATGTTCATATAAGTTAGTTTACACCAAATGAGTCAAAAAAATAAAATACTTTTAAAATCCCAAAAATTTTTAAAAAAATTAAAAAATTGATTAAACTGAGAATCCACATCATAACTCGAAAAATAATGATGGAAACTTATAAATTTTTTAATTTTATGTTTATATAAGTTAGTCTACACCAAATGAGTCAAAAAATAAAATATTTTTAAAATCCCAAAATTTTTAAAAAAAATTAAAAAATTGACTAAACTGAGAATCCACATCATAACTCCAAAAATAATGATGGAAACTTAAAATTTTTTTCATTTTATGTTTATATAAGTTAGTTTACACTAAATGAGTCAAAAAAAAACTATTTTTAAAATCCCAAAAATTTAAAAAAAATTAAAAAATTGATTAAACTGAGAATCCACATCATAACTCCAAAAATAATGATGGCAACTTAAAATTTTTTTTATTTTATGTTTAAATAAATTAGTTTACACCAAATAAGTCAAAAAAAATAAAATATTTTTAAAATCCCAAAAATTTAAAAAAAAAATTAAAAAATTGACTAAACTGAGAATCCACAACATAACTCCAAAAATAATGATGGAAACTTAAAATTTTTTTCATTTTATGTTTAAATAAGTTATTACACCAAACGAGTCAAAAAAAATAAAATATTTTTAAAATGCCAAAAATTTAAAAAAAAATTAAAAAATTGACTAAACTGGGAATCCACATCATAATTCCAAAAATAATGATGGAAACTTAAAATTTTTTTTATTTTATGTTTAAATAAGTTAGTTTACACCAAATGAGTCAAAAAAAATAAAATATTTTTAAAATCCCAAAAATTTAAAAAAAAATTAAAAAATTGACTAAACATAGAATCCACATCATAACTCCAAAAATAATGATGGAAACTTAAAAATTTTTTCATTTTATGTTTAAATAAGTTATTACACCAAATGAGTCAAAAAAAAAATATTTTTAAAATCTTAAAAATTTAAAAATAAATTAAAAAATTGACTAAACTGGGAATCCACATCATAACTCCAAAAATAATGATGGAAATTTAAAATTTTTTTCATTTTATGTTTAAATAAGTTAGTTTACACCAAATGAGTCATAAAAATAAAATATTTTTAAAATCCCAAAAATTTAAAAAAAAATTAAAAAATTGACTAAACTGAGAATCACTTCATAACTCCAAAAATTATGATGGAAATTTAAAAATTTTTTCATTTTATGTTTAAACAAGTTAGTTTATGTTGTATATGCAAATTCGAATGTTAATTTGGAAAAGTGATTATTCATAAATAAATGGTAGACGAAGATAATATTTTTGGGGTAATTTGTCTATGTAAATAATCTTAAATTGAACATAATATTTTTCTATAAATTTTATATATATATTCAAATATGCAAATTTTATATATTTAATTCTTCGAAAATTGTTTAATTTTTTTTATATATATATATACATTGTTAATTCAAAAAAGTTCAGTTTTGGATATTTTGGATTCTTCGAAAATTATTTTATTATTTATTGACCGATGATTTTTTTGATTATTAATTTACAGACGATATTTTGATTATTATTTTGGATTTGATAGAAGTTGAATAAAGAGTAAAAGTAGTGAATTAGTATTAGAAATTATTAATAATTATATATTTATTTATTTATTATTAGTTCCATAGATATTCAGTCTCTCCCACTAGCCTCAGCAATAAATATCAATCCCATATTGGTACAGTGGTGCCTTACAGCGATTGATCCAGGCTTTAGAAGATCAAAAGTCAGTCTAATTATACATTGGAACAAGGTAAAAAAAAATAATAAAAAATATATATAAATTTTTGATAATTTCGGTTCTCTTATTGATGTTATATAAATTTTGGATCTTGGTATTGGTTTTATTCGTATGTTTATATTTATTTAATTGTTTAAGATTAGTTAAAATTATTTTAATCAAGTGGTTATTGAGTACACTTTAATGTATATTACGCAAATAAATTTATTAAGTTTAATACTTGAAAATATAAGTATAATTATATTTTTGGTGCTAATTTTAAGTTTCACGTTAGGTTTAATTATAGGAAGAAATACGACTTACGTTAAGATAGAGATTAAAGAGTTAGAAAATATTAAGAATATACTAAGAGAGGAAGATAAGAAAAGAAATATAAACAACTTCATACGAACGGATAATTACAGACAGATAATTTGCTATAGTTGTGGTCAGCCGGGCCACATGTCGCGCCAGTGTGAGATAACGAAGAATCTAAGATGCGCGAGGTGTGGCAAGAATGGCCATGTGGCTATAAGTTGCAGAGTAAATAATTCAATTGTAAGGTGCAATAATTGTGCCCAAGAAGGACACACACAATAAAATTGCAATAAATGACTAAGAGAGAAATATTTTAATTTTAATGATAAATTTTATAATGATAATAATTTTTCTAAGGTTGATAATTTTAATTCAGGTAAGAATATATATTTTAATTATAATGATAAATTTTGTAATGATAATAGTTTTTCTAAGGTTGATAATTTTAATTCAGGTAAGAATAAATATTTTAATTTTAATGATAAATTTTGTAATGATAATAGTTTTTCTAAGGTTGATAATTTTAATTCAGGTAAGAATAAATATTTTAATTATAATGATAAATTTGGTAATGATAATAATTTTTCTAATGTTGATAATTTTAGTTCAAGTAAGAATAAGTATTGTAATGTTAATGATAAATCCGGTGATGATAATGAGTGTTTTAATATTGATAATTATAATTTGAATAATGATAATAAAAGTATAAGTAAAGAGAGAAATATAAAGATAAAAAGTAGAGATTTTGAAATATATAGAATTAAAAAGGCAACTAGGGTAGACGTACTAAAGATGGAATTAGAGAATTTTTTAATGAAAAATAGATGCCCTAGAGTAAAGATAAACATGGAGGAAGCAGAAATTTGTTTTTTATTAGATACAGGAGCAGAAATTAGTTTAATAAGTATAAAAGATTTTATGAGATTTTGGCCAGAGAAAGAGTTTGTTACTAAAAAGATAAGAGCCAAACAATTGGATGGTAGCATGGTGAAAATTTTAGGGTATTATAGGGTAAGGTTACCAAGAGTTAATAAAAGTATAAATTTGTGGATAACGACGTTGAAGATTGAACCGATTTTAGGATGGGATGATATAAGAACGTTAGGTCCAGTTTATAATTGGTGGAAATTTTTCGATACTATCCCTGTAAGTAATGATGAAAATAGTGAAATGATAGATTTCGATAGATTTAAGTTACCTATTATAGAGGATAAACAAGAATTAGTTCTCGATAAACTTAGAAATCGAACACCAGAATTTTTGATTAAATATAGAAGCAACTTAGAAGAAAATAAGAAAACAAGAGATACAAAGACAATAGAGGTAAATTCAGTCGAAATTAAACAAGAAATTAATAATATGGTAGATCAGAATGTTGTTGAAGATATTTTTGACAAAGAAATAAAGATTATTTTGAATATGTATAATGAAGTCTTTAAAGAAGAATTAGGTACTCTGAAAAATTTTGAGGTAGATATACGATTAGAAGAAAATTATAGACCTAAGTTTTGCGGCATAAGAAGATTACCGTTTTCTTGGATAGAAGAGATAGATAAAGAATTAGATAAATGGTTAAAAGACGGAATAATAAAACCAATAGTGCATAGTGAATGGGCAACACCTTTAGTGCCCATAAGGAAACCAGATAACAGTTTAAGATTGTGTATAGACTATAGAGTAACAGTTAATAAGTGCGTAATAAATGAAAAGTATCCACTACCTAGAATAGAACAACTGCTAGCGAATTTAAGAGGAGACACCCTGTTTTCAAAGATTGATTTTTCGAATGCGTATTTGCAAATTAAGGTGAGTGAAAAGACAAGTAAGATACTAACGATTACAACTCATAGAGGTTTGTTTGCATTCTGTCGATTACCTTTTGGTTTGAAAATATCAGCGCCAATATTTCAAAGAACGATGACGGCGTTATTTCAAGGAATAAAAGGAATAATGTATTATTTAGATGATGTTTTGATATCTGGTAGAACAGAAGAAGAACACAATTCGAGATTAGTTAAAGTGTTAAATATTATAGTAGAAAATGGTTTAAAAGCTAATTTGAAGAAGTGCGTTTTTGGAGTAAAAGAAATAAAGTATTTAGGACATGTTATAAAGGGAAATGAGATTACGCCAATTGGAAAGAATATAGATAAGATCATGAATATGAGAGCCCCGAATAATAAAGCGGAGGTACAAGCGTTTTTAGGAGCAACAAATTATTATCATCGGTTTGTTCAAAATTTTGCAGAAATTGTTACACCGTTGTATGATTTATTAAAGAAAAATAAAAAATTTGAATGGGGAGAAGCACAGGAGAAAAGTTTCGAAAAGTTGAAAATAAAGATGGTAGAGAAGCCTATTTTAAGTTGTTTTAATGAGAAATTAAATATTATTTTAGCAGTAGATGCTTCTAATGAAGGTATAGGAGGAGTTTTGTTGCAGATGATAGATAATGTGGAGAAACCTGTTTTATTTTTATCGAGACGATTTAATAGCACTGAGAAAAATTACTCAACGATAGAAAGAGAGGCTCTAGCAGTGAAATTCGGGCTTACGAAATGTAAGGAATATCTGATAGGAAAAAGGTTTTTATTGTATACGGACCATAAACCGTTGGTAGATTTATTTAAAAAAGAGAATAAGGAACTTATGATTTCACCCAGGTTGCAAAAATGGCTAATTTTAGTTGGTAATTTCGATTTTGAAATAAAATTCAGAGAAGGTAAACAAAATTGCTTACCGGACATTTTATCAAGATTGATTAATAAAGACATTGAAGACAAAGAACCAGTAATCAATAGTTTAGAAGATATAGAAGAAGAAGAAAATGTAAATGGTAATATTATAAGAGCGGTGAGAATAGATACAAGCGAAAAACCTATAACATTTGATATAGTAGATAAGATATCCCAAAAAGATGAAGAATTAATAAGAATTAAAGCTTGTTTAAAAGGAGATATAGAATGGAAAAATGAAGATAAAGCGTTTAAAAAAGTTAAGAGTGAATTAAATATAGAAGACAATTGTTTATTGAGAGGATATAGATTAGTGATACCGAATAAATTAAGAAAGGAAACCTTAAATGTAATACATTCAGGTCATCAAGGCATAGAAAGAATGAAAAATAAAGCAAGAGAATATATGTGGTGGCCTAAGATGAATAAGGAAATAGAAGAGTTAACAAGGAGCTGTGAAACCTGTAACATGTGGGCTAATGTTCCAGCAAAGAATAAGGAAGATAAATGGCCAAAGACAGACATTCCATGCGAAAGAATACACGTAGATTTTTTAGAATATGAGAAGAAAAGATTTTTTATCATGGTAGATGCAGGTTCAAAATGGATAGATTGCCAGCAAGTTTCAGGTTTATCAACAAGAATAGCTTTAGACAAGATAAAGGATTTTGTAGGCAAATATGGTTTGATGAAGACGATAGTATCAGATGGAGGTCCAGCGTTTAAAGGTAGAGCATTTGATAAATTTTGTGATAGGTGGAATATTAGACATTTATTATCACCACCTTATTACCCAAGAAGCAATGGACAAGCTGAACGAATGGTAGCTTTAGTAAAGAGTTGGTTGAAAAAGGCAAAATATGGAGAAGGGCAATGGTGGTTATCATTGTTAGCATACAACAGTACGGAAACAGCAAAAGGAAAGTCACCAGCGGAAATATTTTTAGGAAGAAAGACGAGATCAGAATTAGATTTTTTAAAGGAAAAAGTGATAAGGAGAGAACAAGCAGAGAGTGAAAGATTTCCAGTAGGAAGTTTGGTGTGGGTATTGTTGTTTGATGGTCCTATTAAATGGGGGAAGGGGGTAATAAGCAAAAATATAGGAAAGAAAAAAGTAGAAGTAAAGATTGAAGGACAAGAAGGAACCTTTACAAGGCACCTGAAGCAAGTAAGGTGTAGAAGCTTAAGGCCTTAGAGAGAAATGAGAAATATACGAAGAATTAGAAAGGAATAAATTGATGATAGACATAGTAGGAGAATCATAATTTAGAAAGGAATAAATTGATGATAGACATAGTAGGAGAATCATAATATAGAAAGGAATAAATTGATGATAGACATAGTAGGAGAATCATAATTTGGAAAGGAATAACGTGATGATAGACGTAGTAGGAGAATCATACGTTGTAGGAAATAAAAGGGATGTTAGACTTAATTAGGAGAGTTATATTTTATAAAGAGTTAGAGAAGAAAGTCGAAGAATATATATATATATGTGTACAAAGTATTTGATTTAGATGGCCTCCTATGTTAGAGTGGGTAACAAAATAATGAAGATAGAGATCCGAGAGGTTGACGGTTCAGAAGAGTCCAACAGATGGGTAGAAGCCGCTAGGAACGAAGCAAAACAAAGATATGGAGATTGGCTACAAGAGACGCCAACGAGAGGGGTTCACAGGATAGCACCATATAACACAAGAAGGAGAGTGGAATGTTGGGCTTGTGGGGGAGGACACAAGTTACGATATTGTCCCAGTGTAGAGTTGACAGCGAACAATAATACGAATTTACCGATGCGAAATATGGTTGAATCAGAAAGGAAGGAGGTGTTGTATATGCAAATTCGAATGTTAATTTGGAAAAGTGATTATTCATAAATAAATGGTAGACGAAGATAATATTTTTGGGGTAATTTGTCTATGTAAATAATCTTAAATTGAACATAATATTTTTCTATAAATTTTATATATATATTCAAATATGCAAATTTTATATATTTAATTCTTCGAAAATTGTTTAATTTTTTTATATATATATATACATTGTTAATTCAAAAAAGTTCAGTTTTGGATATTTTGGATTCTTCGAAAATTATTTTATTATTTATTGACCGATGATTTTTTTGATTATTAATTTACAGACGATATTTTGATTATTATTTTGGATTTGATAGAAGTTGAATAAAGAGTAAAAGTAGTGAATTAGTATTAGAAATTATTAATAATTATATATTTATTTATTTATTATTAGTTCCATAGATATTCAGTCTCTCCCACTAGCCCCAGCAATAAATATCAATCCCATATTGGTACAGTTTACACCAAATGAGTCAAAAAAAATAAAATATTTTTAAAATCCCAAAAATTTTAAAAAAAATTAAAAAATTGACTAAACTGAGAATCAACATCATAACTCCAAAAATAATGATGGAAACTTAAAATTTTTTTTCATTTTATGTTTATATAAGTTAGTTTACACCAAATGAGTCAAAAAAATAAAATATTTTTAAAATAAAAAAATTGACTAAATTGAGAATCCACATCATAACTCCAAAAATAATGATGGAAACTTAAAAATTTTTTCATTTTATGTTTAAATAAGTTATTTTACACCAAATGAGTCAAAAAAAATAAAATATTTTTAAAATCCCAAAAATTTAAAAAAAATTAAAAAATTGACTAAACAGAATCCATCCACATCATAACTCCAAAAATAATGATGGAAATTTAAAAATTTTTTCATTTTATGTTTATATATGTTAGTTTACACCAAATGAGTAAAAAAAAATAAAATATTTAAAATCCCAAAAATCTTAAAAAAAAAAACTGACTAAACTGAGAATTCACATTATAACTCCAAAAATAATGATGGGATCTTAAAAATTTTTTCATTTTATGTTTATATAAGTTGGTACAAAATCAATTAATCCAGAGCGAAGAATTATACCCCTATAATTCATGTTATTTTTAATTAAAAACTAAAATTTTAATAAATTACGCCATCTAGCAGAATTTTATTTATGATATACTAAATATATTATGGGTGTTATATTTTCTATATAATAGGTCTGTTTTATACATATTATAAATTTATGGACTACAATATTTTTTCTATTCTAATTTATACATTTAGATAATTTTAATTTTGAATAGATTTGATTTTTACTTTAAAAACATTTTTATTCATTTAAAAATAATTGATAAGCAATAAAATAAAAATAAATTTTAACAGTCAATTCTCAGTTCACATGTCAATTATCAGTTTACCTGTTAATTCTCATTTACATTACACCGTGTAATGTAAATCTTACGAAACCGAAATGCCTTTAAGTTTGAAGTGCTTATTGGAATCTATTCTTCTTTTCACTAATGCAGTTGCGATATTAAATGAAAAAAGATTTTTAGCAAAAAGTGATAAAAATATAATTATTTTAATTTTATTTTTGTAAACATCAGTTGGATGGAATCATGATGCATCACAAACATTTAGTGATTCTCCTGGAATAAAGTCTCAATTGATAAATCTTATTAAATCTATTCAAATGGTAATGAGAGGTACATAAATCTTTCAAATATGTATATGCATTATTTATATAGTACCGCTAATATTTTTGAATATAGTTGTAATTATATTGGAATTGATATTGGGATAAACTATGTTATAAATATATATATATTTTTTAAATAAAAGTCTTATATATTTTTAAAATGTCTGCTTAATAATTTAGCTTTTTCTCTAATTTGGTCTCTTTGTTTAATAAGCTTGCATTCTAAAAGTATAGCTTCTTGTAAAATTTTATCCACTTGTTTTAAACAATAAGGTTCAAAAGATTCTGCTTCACTAAATTTATAAAAAAAAATTAAAATATAAATGATTTAATTCTAACATAAAATAATGTAATCGCTTCTTGATTATTTTCTCAAAGTCTTTTTCTATATCTTATGGTTAATATAATTAAACAGATGTTTTATTATAAAATAAACTTTTTATGTTTTACCTTTTAACTTTTCTTCAATATTCTGGCTGTCAGTATTAATATCATTTTCCTTAGCTAAAAAAGATAAAAAACAGTTTGATTAATGGAAAAAATCTTTTATATTCCAAATTAGAAAATGATTAGATTATCAAAGTGTGTTGTATTCTATTTTTTATATAAAAAACACCCTATTTTAAAGTAAATAACCGCTTATTTATCAAGCCATATGTATTTTAATAATACATATGATAGTAATGTTGTTAATTTATTCCCAAATAACAAACTAGGGCCCAATTTCAAGACATTTTCTAATATAAATTCATATTAAGTTACTGAGGAGTTGGAGAAAAAAAATGTTTAAAATAACAAGTTTCATTTTTGAAAATTTATATTTTGTAAAAAATTATTATATAAACAAGTTTTATAATATATTTATTACATTTTACCTAGGTCTTCTTTTAAAGCAGAGTTTTGAGACAGATTGGTTTCTTTTTGCATATATTTTTTATCAGGAAATAAAATGGGATTAGATTTCATTATCTGATTATTCTCCTTTATAATATCTACTGTAGTGTCATTTTCCTTACAAGAACAAAGTTATAACATTTTATTAATATTATACCTCCATTTTAAGTTTTTTATTATCTTCATAATTATTTGCAAAAGAATCACAAGAAAATGGTGATTTTTGCATGTTTATGATCGTCTGCTTATTATGATAACTTATTATCCCACGCAATATTTATTTTATACATTGGTATATAAATTAATTCTTGGAAAGAAAGGTCTTTTTTAGATATGGGGATGGCTGAAGCCTGGGTGAAAATAGAAAATTGGTTCTTAAGAATCTATAATTGAAAATATATAAATATTTTAGCCTTTATTTATTTATAACATTATAAGTATTGCTATATTCAATTGCACTTTTTAGTTTTAAAACTGTGCTCTGGTTCAACTTATTTTTGATAATTATTGCAGTTTTGCTGCTTAACAGCTTTAAAACTAGGACACTCTATTTTGGGTTGTTTTAAGTATTTAGTGTGGTGGCACTTTATTTTTTATGTCTTGTTTTTTTCAATTTATTTTTCTTTCTTTTTAGGGTGTTTAGAACCATATAGCCAAGTTCACCTGACTCTGACTCAGAGTCTGAGTTGTTAGTCAAATTAGTTGACTCACTGAAGTTGTAAACTCGAGTCGTAAACTCAAGTCGACTTAAGTCGTGAATTTAAGTCGCTAACTCAGGTCAACTTGAGTCGAAAACATGAGTTTTTCACTTGAGTCGTGAACTTAAGTCGACTAGAGACGAATATTTCGAATCATAATATTTTTGTTACAATTAATTTGTGGTTTTCATGCAAAAATTTTAAGCAAAATTTGAATTGATAAGAATTTAAAATCTTCTTTTTTAAAATTTTTTTGTGAATTATTAATCTTTAGTTGAAATCTTTTATAGGTTTATTTTTATCATTTTTGTAAAATTTTCTATTTTTTAGTTTATTAAATGAATTAGTTTAAATAATTTATCTTTAAATATTTATATTAAATTTTTATATGTTATTTTTAGTGTTGTTAAACGGCTCGATTTGAGCCGATTTTTAAAAACGGCTAACTCAATATTTTATCAAAAATAATATTACGCAAGTCTGAAGATTTTGCTCATAGATGGCACAAAGGTCTAGACATCAATTAGCGAAATTTCGAGATTTAGGTAATATTTTTCTAGCTAAAATATGGATTTAGCCGTTTTTAAAAATCGGCTCAAAATGAGCCGTTTAACAACACTAGTTATTTTACATGATCGTCTTATAATATTTTAATGTGACAATTGTCATGTTATTTTTTAACATTTTTGAAATTTTGGCACAAAAGGGTAAAAATATAATTTATATTATAAATATGTTAAATTATAAATTCAATGATGATGTTCCTTTAAAAATGACAAATATCATAATCTGTGTTTTAAAACATATTAGTTTATTTTTGACGCTAATGGGTAAAAATATAGATTGTAAATATTAAAATTTCAGTGAAGATTTCCCCTAGATAAGTGACAATTGTCATAATCGTTATTTCTAAAGTTTTTGGAAATTTTTTGGCACAAATAAGTAAAAATATAGGCTTTTAATTAAAAATTCAGTGAAGATTTACCATAGATATGTGACAATTGTCATAATCGTTATTTTTAAAGTTTTTTGAATTTTTTTAAAGCAAATGGGTAAAAATATATATTGTAAACATGTTAAATTAAAATTTCAGTGAAGATATACCATAGAAAAGTGACAATATAGTTTTCTTTGAACTTTTTTAAAGTAAATAAGAAAAATTAAATATGTTAAACCATAGAAAAGTGACAATTGTCATAATCGTTATTTTTGAACTTTTTTGAATTTTTTTAAAGCAAATGTGTTAATATATATATTGTAAACATGTTAAATTAAAATTTCAGTGAAGATGTACCAGTCATTCCATATCAAATCAATCACTTTACAACCCGATCATCTCAGATTTTGTTAAAATTTGGTATTTAAGTTAATTAAGTATTTTAAGTGACGAATCCAAAATATTAGAGTCTTAACTCTATTAGAATTGGAGTAGGGCTTCAAAGTGGGTCAATTTGGTCATTTTTCGAAAAAAATGATTTTTAAAAATTGAGATAACTTTTATATTAGATGCACTATGTATATTTATTATGGCTCATTTTATAGCCCTAAGTAAACTCTTGAACATATGTTAGATAAAATTAATTTTTAGTTTAAATTTTTTTTTAAATTGCGGTTAAAAATTTGTAATTAATTTTTTAAAATGTTAGATTAAATTTTTTTTTCCAAATTTCAGATATTTTGTAAAGAGTACCAAGAACTGTTCATATAAAAAATTTCAGAGTGGGCCCAAAAAAATTAATTAGATAAAATTGCATTTTAAAAAAGACCGCTAGATGGCGCAAGAAATTTAAAATATTAATTTTAACAATAAAAGTCATTCTAAGAATTTTTTTTTATTCCATAATATAATATTTATCGAATAATTAATAATAAGCGTATAATATAAATATTTAAAATAATTTTAATAAAATTTCTTTGAATGATAACCACCATTCATTATCATATAAACATGTAACATACCCTTTAATATCTTTAGTTAATATTTCGTTTTTTTTGGATTTTTTCTAATTTGACTTCAATAACACTAGAATATTTTTTTGTATTTATTTGTGATAAATTAACAGGATAGACTGCATTAATTTTTTGAATCCCAGATATTGAAAGAGCTCTTGAAAATCGTTCCTCTAAAAATTCTTGCTCATCTTGGTATTCTTTATGGGATGTATAAGAAAAATAAGTATTTTTAATATTTTCCTCAGCGAATTTAAAGAATTCATAGGGAGATTTTATTTGATTTTCATAAGGACGTTGTAAACTGGCCCGCGCAGCCAAGTGTTTAACGGTTCCCCCTATTCCATCGCAAACATTTTTCCCATGGGCAGTAGGAAAAAAATGCCACTCTGCTGGGATGGGGAAGCCCACTTGATAACACAAATTTATAAAATTTTTCCTATTTTTATATTGCGCCGCGGACCCATCGGAATAATAATAAATGTATTTTGGCTCAGATAAAAAGTAATTTTTTAGAAAATTTATCATTTTTTTTTGGAATAAATTGAATAAACAAGTGTTATGTACCAGCGACTCGGATATGGCCACATAACTTATATGATTTAATACATTATTTACTTTATAATATATACCAAATGGATGTAGGGTAACCTGAGAAGTGGCCCAGTGATAACTTTGGACTTCATCTTGAAATATAAAAGAGTAATTTTCAGAAAAATCGCAGATAACTAAATAATGATCTAGCTCTAAGTTGTTTTTAAGATTCTGATGGAATCTATTTTGTTGTTCAGTAATAAAAGAATGGCGAATCAAAATAAATATTTTATCAAATATAATTAAGAAATTCGCAGTTTGTGTTAGGGTCTCTAAACTGGTTCTATCTACAGTTATACATTGCTTGAACGTTATCCTGTATATATCATGTGCAATTAATAAATTTTCTAATTTAGCCCTTAATGCTTGGTCCCTAGGACATTCATGACATTCGCCAAAATAACAGGCTGGCAGTGGAGGATTGCAAATCATTTTTGAAATTATGTCTTTGTAAGTCTTTATCTCAAAATCCCTATTTTTTGTCAAAGTTGCTAAATTGCTACCTATTATTAGCAACTTAACATTCTGATGGATTAGGCAGACCAAAACCGAGTGAGTGCCACTCCTGGCATTATGCAATTTTTAGGGCGCAATGAGGTGAATTCTGAAAATCCGATTTTAAGAGTAGGGTAGATAGTTTTAAAATTTATATAGATTTCTTTTAAATTATTAAGAATTAACCTTTTTTGAACGTTAATCCTTTCATCATTTTCAATTATAGAAACGCAATTTTTTTTTCCGGGCAATAATCTACTATATTCGTCATTTAAATAGAAACTTTTAACTACGTCAACTGTGTTTTGATCTATAATTTTACCTGCCTTGTGATTAGGAGTTGAAAGAATCCCCTTTTGACTATGAATGTATTTTGAATTACGGATCATATAAAACGAAGCGTTAAATTGTTTTTTAATTTTATGAATGCTCCAATTTGGAGGTAATGTTGTTAATAATTGATATTTTTGGGTTTTAGACAATAATGGATAATTATTTTTCATATGAATTATCCAATCGTCGCTA